TTCAGCATTGTAAAGGGGACCAGAATTTAGCATATTGGCGAAGCAACCATATGGCTGATATGCATAGAAATACATAGTTTACATCTGCGTGTTGAAAGCAGTCACCACAGTGAGTCACACAAGCCTGAGGCAAGCAGAATAAAGAAAGTACCAAGTCCCCTGGCCTTGCAGTAGAATCTTCTACTTGCTGCACAGAGTTTAAGCTGGGCTTATGTATGTGATTTCCACTTAGCCAACCTACTGAATGGCCCCTTTGCGCAATGACAATTCAGTTCTTGCTTCTATGTGACTATACTAAAAAAGCTATGAGTGATAAACTTTATAACATAGTTGCAATATTGATATTAAAATTTAAATGAATGCACGAAAGCTGAAGCTGACTGGCTGTAGATGTGTATCTAGTTTTGGGGGAAAGCTAGACTATAAGAGTCAAAATGACAAATATATGTGACAAAAATGGAATTACTGATCTTATATACAAAATATATTTCCTATGATTGATGTCCCAAATAATTTAGGATCAATATTTCCAAGTAATATGATGTGTTTAGTGTATTGCTGGTGATTTCAGGCAAAGAGAGGAACATTTTAAGACACTGGAAATTTCAGAAATGGATGCATACATATATTTAAGGATGGCAATTATTTGAAATATTAACTATTTTGCTAGATAATGATGGCCCAGATACTTACCAGTTGTTTTCTTCTTGTTGAAAAATACAATATTTGTCATAACCAGTTATGTATTTATATATGGTGGCTCCAAACAAAACTATTCCCTTTCCTGCCTAATGCACAGAGAGAAGTCATGTGGAAGGATATGGCTGAAGTCTATTGGCTACTTTGGTTTGCTAACACTTAGACATGATGCCCCAGCCAGGCCCAGCAATGCTCCACCTTCCCAGGAGCAGTTTCTAAATAATTCCACTAGCCCAGTCCCAATAGTAAGTCACTGTCCCCAAAAACAAATGGAAATACTAATTAAAGCATACCTAGTTTTCTCAAATTTTCAATTAGATCAATTACTTCAACTTCCTAGGGGAAAAGTTAGTAAAGAAAAAAAATACTAGAAGGTGGGCAGAAACCTAGCTACTTTAAGTTCTTCAAGTAATTAATTATACTATAATTAATGATTCATAAATACAAACAAGAGCAGATACAGCCTTCAGCCATTGTATCTTTAGGTCAGTGCCATGCCCCCTTATAGGGCCACAGGGACTTCTGAGCCAGCCTGGTACTAGGCATAGAGTTTATTGATCTGACTAGAACTACTGGTTAGAAGAAAGGATAGAAGACAGTGCCTGACTCTGACACTGCTATGCCATACCTGTCAGTATCACTTGTTCAGAGAACAGTGACAGGCACTCAATAAATGTTTTCTCAGCTAAATTAGTATGCACCATCACTTCTAAAAGTAAATTTATAATGATGCCATTATTGTGTGGCTACCAAAGATGGTGGATCCAAGTGTGAACTTGAGGATAATACCACCTATGTTCAGATAGATATGAGCCCACTATTGGTAGGTGGTGATTGGGGGAGTTACTGAACCACCCCGGGCCTCTGTTTCCTCATAAGTAATTTGCAATTATGATAGCACCTATTTCAGAATATTGTAGTATGGAATATATAATGTTTTATAGACATGATATAATGACTAGCAATAGTAAAAACTAAAATATTTTATAAAATAATAAAATGATTTATGAACCATCATACATTCTTTACTGAGGCCCATTTTTCCTTAAGAATCTTTATCACACAGAAAATGATAAGGATATATGGATGGTAAAAAGAATAGCATTTGAGGATATGAGTTTTACAGAGCTCCTTTTCTCTAAAGCACCCAAATAACCACTGATTTGTTGGTTTTTATATATTCACATTCATTATTTTGGTCCATATATATTCTATTGTGCTAAATGTGGCCACTGGCTTCAATCCCTCTGGGTAACTCTGACTTACATAAGACTGCAGATTAGGTAAATATATAAAATAAAATCAGGATGGAAAATTGAGTAATCTGTGTGAAAAACATGTACACAATTCATTGGTACAATATTTAAATTTTAATATGTAGATGTATTGATTAGAGATAAAATAATTTGCATCTATGTATCTATGAAGAAGAAAATAGTTTGCATAGACTGAAGTTGAACAAATTATGATTAGAAATGAGGCCAGAGAAAGATAAATTTCTTAACTAAAAGAATGTCTTCAAAATTGGATTAGAAGCCAGATGTGGTGGCATACACCTATAATCCCAGTGGTTCTGGAGGCTGAGGTAGGAGAATCGCAAGTCCAAAGTCAGCCTCAGCAACTTAGTGAGACCCTGTCTCCAAATAAAAATATGAAAAAAAGAGAAAAAAAGCTGGGGATGTGGCTCAGTGGTTCAGCGCTGCTGGGTTCAATCCCTGGAACAACAACATCAACAACAAAAATAGAATAATAATACAGAAATTAAAAGAAGACTTCCAGACCTCCTTTACCTCCAATCCATAGCACATACTCTTTCAAGTATTTTCTTCACATTGCTCTTTCCCTGTCTGAATATACATCAAGCTCCATCAATTTCTTTGAGGTAACCTCAGACTATAACATAGGTATTTATTTATTTATTTATTTATTTTTTGAGAGAGAGAATTTTAATATTTATATTTTAGTTTTTGGTGGACACAACATCTTTGTTGGTATGTGGTGCTGAGGATCGAACCTGGGCTGCACAGCATGGCAGGCGAGCGCGCTACCGCTTGAGCCACATCCCCAGCCCCAAGTATTTATTTTTATCTGCCATATTTCCCATAAGCCTTTTTTAAAAAAATATTTTTTAGTTGTAGATGGACATAATATCCTTATTTATTTATTTTTTTTATTTTTATGTGTTGCTGAGGATCAGGTACCAGGCAAGTGTTCAACCTCTGAGCCACAACCGCAGCCCCTCCCAGAAGCCTTCTTAGTTGTCCTTTACCTGAGGTACAGTGGAGAACCTTGATCCATACTTAGCAGGAAATCAATTTCTATTCTTCTATTAACTCTAAGAGACTCTTTAAGGGTTTGCATTGGGGGTTGTGATATAAATTATATTTTTTTCTGATAAATTCTTTCCTTCTATCTTGGTTTTCGGTCCTCACTAAATTATTGATTCTTACTCTGTGCTTTAGTCAGCTATTTTGCTGCTTTGACTAAAAGATCTGATCAGAACAATTTTAAAGGAGGCTCATGGTTTCAGAACTCTCAATCCATAGAAAGCCGGGTCTGTTCCTCAGGGTTCCAGGTAAGACAGACAGGAACAACCTGGCGAAGAGTGTGCCAGAGGGAAACAGTTTATCTGGTGATCAGGAAGCAGAGAGAGTCTCCCCTCACCAGATACAAATCTATACTCCAAAGCCATGCCCCAGTTCCAGCCACACCCTACCACTTCAGTTACCACTCAGTTTAATCCCTATCAGGGGATTAATTTACTGATTGGGTTAAGATTTTCACAACCAAATCATTTCTCTTCTGAACCTTCTTGCATTTTCTCACATGTGAGCTCTTGAGGGGCATCTCACATTCAAACAATAACACTCTGTTCTATTCCAAATGACTGCAATAGTCTTTTTCTACATTATGTCCCAATATACTGAATCTCAAATTGCTTCATTCCCCAAATGCCCACTACCACAAAAGAGGTAGTACTACATAAAATTTTTCTAACATGTTGATTAAGAGAAATTTCAAAGCATCAATTTGTCAGCAACAACTGATATCGGAATATTGTTATTCCAAAGGTTTATGGACTATTACATGCAAGAGACAAATTATCCTCTTTGTTTGTCAATAAAGTCTTAGATTATCATGATTTAGGGGAGGTTTTTCTTTTCCTAAGACCGTTCTCCCCTTTCTCAGTACAAATCTTAAGCCTCCACATTTCCTTCACTTTTTTGTTACAGTTTGCTTTCTACTGCTTATTCCAAGCAGGTTCCGGGAATAGAATTTGCAGAGGAGAAAACTTGGAAGTACTCCATTACATTAGTATCTACTCTCAGATCCCAAACCTTAGTAGCACAGGCATTGGAAGAAAATGGAAAATAGCATTTTCCTATTTAGGTTTATCAAATTTTTAGGCAAGGTTCTCATCTTCAGCCATTTATGAATACAGATAATCAATAGTGAAAATGTATTCTTCACCTTTCCAAAGTAAACCCCTAGGCATCTTACTTTTTGTTATTGTTATTTGTACACACAAATTATCACCCATACTAGACTATAAGATCCCTAAAGTCAGCAGCTGGTTTTGATTGATAGCTGCATGGGACACAGTACCTAAAAGGTGAGCCAAAGTAACTTAATTTAAAAATAGCAGAATTGTATACTTTCAATTAATACACACTCACTGAATGGCAGTAGAGGGTACACAGGTTATAAAAATGGTCAACTTATACTATATAACTATGCATCTCTATTGAGATATACTAAAGTAATTTTTTAAAAAGTTGAACAATAACAATGAAGGAGTTCAACCATTTTTGACTCAGCATTATGTATGCATCCTAAGCTAAATGCATTGTTAAGTTTTGCTGTTCCTTATGCAGAATATTCTAATGGGTGTCATGGAGGTAGTTCAAAGAAAGAGACAAGACTGTTTGTCCTCCTTACCCATAATAAGAAGATAATAGTGCAGATATCACAATGGGCTTTCCATGCCAGCAGATAATTCATATCTTACAAATGCTAACCAAGTAGAGCCCTCTCACCACATTATGCCACCAATACCCTTCATCAGAGTTGATGGCACATCAGTTTAACAATGAAGATATTAAGGAAGCAGAGAATTGCATGAACTTTTGGCTGGATCCTGCTGCTGAATCATGCTGGGAAACTGTAGGGTAGCCCACAGAGAGCAGCACTTGCTAATCATTCTAATTAGCTCCCAGAGCAGTCACTAAAAGGACTTCCACTTCCACTTCATACTACAATAAAAGCAGAACCAAAAATTCATATTTCTCCATTTTAAATTTTATTTCATGTAACATGTTTCAGCTGAAAGCTGCACTCACCCATTGTGAGTGATGAGGAAAGTAGTCAAGTATAGAAGAAGGCTACTTGGCTTGGGACTAGAGACAAAGTCTTCAGGGTGAAACTCTCCACGAAGTGTCTAAGGCAATGAGTGAATAGTCTGTCCAGGCTTGGCCAAGGGACTTCATGGAACAGATTAGTTAAGCAGGTCTTCAAGAGGGCCTTGCCAGTCAACTCAGAAAGGGGAATGGAAATTTAAATGTTGCATTCGTTTGCTCATTTGCTTGGGCTGCCATAACAAATTACCATAGACTGGGGTCCTTCAATAGAAGAAAGCTAAGTTCTCACAGTTCTGGAAGGTAGAAGTCCAATGTCAAGGTGTTAGCAGGTTCAGTTTCTTCTAAGGCCTCTCTCCTTGCCTTTGTCTTCCCATGGCCTTTGTTCTGTACAAGCACACCCGTGGCATCTAAATTTCTTCTTATAAAATACAACAAGCCGATTGGATTAAGGACTGCCCTAAATACTTTTATTTTAACATTATTACCTCTATAAAGATTTCATCTCCAAGTAGGTTGTATTTTGAATTACTGGGGTTTAGGACTTCAACATATAAACTTGGGGGGCACCCAGGTACCAGTAACAGAGGCCATACACAGGACTCTTGCCTGTGATAAATTGATAAATTCAAAGTGTCATAAAATATTTATTCCAAGAAGTAAAAATCTATACAAAGTCTAGAACCTTATTTTCTTATCTTGGCAATTCACCTATTCTTCACAGATTTGTAGGAATTCAAAGAGAAGTTTCTTCAAATAATTTGGTAAAATGAATTTTTATCCTTTAAAAAAACACAATATTCTCTGAAATTATTGAATAATTTTTCAAACACTAAAAAATAATATGCTTAATAGACTACTAAAGGCAGAGATTGGATATTAAATCTGCACAAACTTCTAACTTTAGCCTTAGACTTTAGTGTTTTATGTTCCAGATGAGAATTTTGGGGGAAAAGCAAAAGTCAAATTATGCAATCAGTACTTATTGAGTATATTCTATAACTTTTTATAAAATACCACAAGAGATACTATACAAACAGAAAAACTCTAAGGTTTAATAAATGGCTTCAATAAAAACATTTAACCTCTAAAACTAAAATAAAACATGGAATAACTTCACAAAATGAATTCTAAACCCTCACACATATTCAGAAAATTTTAATCAGATGAAAAAATAAAAAATAAAATTTTTTTCAGATACATTTATGTAGTATATAAAATTTTGTTCTATATTTTGAATAAAAGTTATTTTTATAAATTACCAAACCTTTACAATTTTATTTAATTATAATTAATGTAATTTTTAAAATTTAAGCCACTTACTGAGTCATATGATTCAATTAATTAAAACAACATCAATCATCAAGCTGAAATTATTATCTACTGGAATGAATATAATTTTGCTTGTATTAGAATTATTGAATGCCTACTGCTGAAGGTATGCAGGAAGATTGATTTCTAGAAAAATGATCATGAACCATTTTTAACATCCATTTTACACAATAAAAGTCATTACTATAACATGGTATTCAGTCCTTTACAAAAGAAAAAAGTCACCAGAAATAAATACATTGCAAACAATTGTTATTGATACTGATGATGGAGTAAAATGATACACTCCTAATATAACCCATAAATTGATGTTAATGTTAAATTAATGTTTTAGGAAGATCAATACATTTTTATTCAATGTCTTCTACACCCAAAACCAAAACAAACTACTAGGTAAACTGTACATAGGAGGAAATCCAGAGAGTCTAAGAGGTTTTAATGTTGCTTGTAAGTCAACAAATTTCATACATTGGTAAATAGTAAAATAAAACACAGTTAAGATAGTAATGCAGACATTGCACAGTTCAATTGGAGTAGATATAGTTTATTTTTAGATTATATTTTTAAAACATGCTTAGTTTTGATTCACATTTCTCTAACTGCAGAGATATTGAACATTTTTTCAAATATTTGTTGATCTGATTGTATTTATTCTTCTGTGAAATATTTATTGAGTTCCTTTGCCTATTTATTGATTGGGTTATTTGAGGTTTTTCTTTGGTGTTGAGTTTTTTGATTTCTTTATATATCCTGGAGATTAATGCTCTATCTGAGGTGCAGGCGGCAAAGATTTTTTCTTTTTCTGTAGGCTCTATCTTCAAATTCTTGATTGTTTCCTTTGTTGTGAAGAATTTTTTAGTTTGATACCATCCAATTTGTTCATTCTTGATTTTATTTCTTGTGCTTTAGGAATTTTGTTAAATAAGTCAATTCCTAAGCCAACATGGTGGAGATTTGGGTCTACTTTTTGTTCTATTAGGCACAAGGTCTGTATTCTAGTCCTTATCCACTTTGAGTTTTGATCAGTGTGAGAGGGGTTTAATTTCATTTTGCTACATATGGATTTCCAGTTTTCCCAACACCATTTGTTGAAGATGCTATCTTTTAGCAAGGGCGTGGGGAAAAAGGTACACTCAGATGTTGCTGGTAGTAATACAAATTGGTGTAACCACTGTGGAAAGCAGTATGAAGATTCCTCAGAAAACTTGGAATAGAACCACTATTTGACCCCACTATCCCACTTCTAATTTTATAACCCAAGGACTTAAAATAAGTGTACTATAATGACAGGACAACATCAATGTTTATAGCAGTTCAACTCACAATAGCTAAACTATAAAACCAACCTAGGAGCCCTTCCACAGATAAATGGATAAAGAAAATGTCACAGAATATTACTCAGCCTTAAAAAGAATGAAATTATGGCATTTGCCAGTAAATGGATGGAGCTGAAGAACATCATGTTAAGCAAAATAAGCCAATTCCAAAGAACCCAAGTCCCTGAATGTTCTCTCTGGTATGCAGATGCTAATTCACAATGGGGAAGGGGAGCCTAGTGAAGAATAGAAGTGCTTTGGATTAGACAGAGGGGAGTGTAGGAGAGGAGGTGGTATGGGTATAGGAAGGATAGTAAGATGAATCAGACATCATTACCCTGTGTGTATATATGATTACATGACTTGTAATGACTTAATTCTACATCATGTGCAACCAGAAGAATGAGAAGTTATACTCCATTTATGTATGATGAGTCAAAATGTATTATACTAATGTATAACTAATTCAAACAACTTAAAAAATAGACTAAGTAGAATTAAAAGGAGTTGAGCTTGTTATAAGATATATATTCAGGAACCTCTAATCCCAGAGCTCAGGAGGCTGAGAGAGGAGGATCTCAAGTTCAAAGTCAGCATCATCAACAGACAGGTGCTAAGCAATTCAGTGAGATCCTGTCTCCATAAAATGGAAAAAAGGGCTGGGGATGTGGCTCAGTAGTCTAATGCCCCTGAGTTCATTCACTGGAGATATAATATACATATATATATAATGTTTGGTACCAGGGATTTCAATATATATATGTATTGAAAATTTTATATATATGTATATAAATATATATATATATATATATATATTATTTTCAAAGAATTTATGTACTAGAAATAATTGAATGTTTATGATTTTGAACAAGGAGAGCATGTCACCCGACCATAGGGCCTGATATGTCCAGGATGCTGCAGGTTTATTCTGCATTGTTCTAGGGTCCTGTGTGGTTAGTGTCTACTTTTTCTCTCAAAAGTGTCACAGTCTAGATCCTAATTTATTTGGCCCTCTTAAATAGAGAATGCAGAAAATGATTGTAAATGGAAAATAAGTCCAAAAGATGATAGGTAAAAGTTCATGAAGTCTGAAAAATCTCAACTTTTATAGATTCTCCTAAAAGTTATGACTGAGCTACATGTTACTGTATTTAGTGGTCTTCACATTTGGCCTACAGTTACCTCCATTCCCACAGGAATAGAAAAAATTGCCTCCATAACCTTTATATAAACTGAATTTCACTTTGAAATTACATTTCTTTTTTTTAACATAACAATTTTCTAATTGTTAAAGCTTACATGTATTAAACTCATACCAACACAGAATAAAATAATTGGTTAGAAATTGTGAAAAATAGTGCAGGCAATAGGACTATGAGCAATTTATCATGTGGATTGTTCACATGGATATAAAAGAGAGTTTATCTATAAGAGGAAAAATATTTTGCAAATATTTCTTTTAATATGATTCTATGTATTCTCATCCAATGTCTTCATTCAGTTTTAAACTTCCTGCAGGCAGTGATGATGCCTTTTCTATTTCTAACAAAATGTTTTCATATCTCAGATAAGGAGCCAGGATGGATTGGTTGACTAAGCAATGCCATGCGTGTTCACAATAGCAGTCATTTAAGTCCCACGAGCCGTGTTGGGAGTGCCAGTGTTTTGAAAGTTTGACATTTCTACTGCTAACTAGAGCTGTGCCACATTCTGTAAATTTCCTTCATCAACATCAGCACTGTTGGCTCTTACACCTCACGCTTAAGATTTCTGTTATACCATATTTTCTATACAGAAGGCTACTCTCAATGGAGAGCACTTAGGAAAAAAAAAAGCTTTTTATAGTAGCACCATACTTTATTAAACGTTCAGTGAATTTTCAGCTATTTAAATGCCTATTTGCTTTAACTGAAATTTACTCTTCATTGGAGAGGAAATAAGAAAGATTTATTTGATAGAAAATATATTAAAGAACATTGATATGCTAAAATCATTAACATTATCACAAATTGCCTACTAAAATATTGACTTTGCCTCTGTTTCACTGACTGCTCTATCTAAGGAGGTTATGCATAAGTACCCATGTGTTCTTTGATCAAATAAGGATTGTGAAATTTCTCTGTGGCTGAGAATTTGACTTTTCAAGTTCTATCATAATAATAGCCAAAAATTGTTCAAAATATTTTGTTTTTCATTGTCAATTGTGCAGTTTTGGTGTATCTTTCAGAAAGAGTGACTTAGCCTTTAAATGGTCAGAGTATTCTCACATTCTTTATTTATATCCATAAAAATAAAAATAATTATATTAGTCTTTTATATAGTTTAACTTATATAATCAAATGCACAATGTTATGGTTTGGGTGTAAGGTGGATTTTAAAAAAATATCTCATGATCCCCCAAAAGCTCACATGTGAGACAATGCAAGAAATTTCAGAGGAGAAATGATAGGTTTACTAGAGACTTGACCCAATCAGTGAATTAATCCTCTGATAGGAATTATCTGAATGGTATTTGAAGGCAGGTAGAGTATGGCTGAAGGAGGTGGCATTGTGGCTATGGCTTTGGGGTATATATTTTGTATCTGGAAAGTGGAGTCTCTCACTGCTTTCTCATCTTCATGTGAGATGCTTCTCTCTGTCACACTCTTCTGTCATGGTGTTCTGCCTCACCTAGAGTCCTGAGAAATGAAGCCAGCTATTTATAGATGAGACCTCTCATTATTTATTGAGCCCCTAAATAAACTTCTTTTACTCTAAAATTGTTCTTTGTCAG